CTGGCATCTTTGCTAGATAAAAAGCCAGAGTTGCAGTCTTGTTAAAGCAAGTTACTAAATTTCACTGATGTTTGAAAGACTGCCAAAAGAGGAAATGTATTTTTTTTTAAACGTGAGAAACTTTTTTAAAAAAAGCAACAACTAAAGCAAATATATTGGGAACATTTTCTATGTACTTATACAATATCACTTGTATTTGTTAGGCCTACTCCATGGTCTTCCAAAGAGAGAGCCCTAAAAGAGTCCTTTTTCCCTATCCTGCATGCTTAATTCCCATTTAATAACTTGGACTGTACTTTGCTCAGCCCTGACAGAGCACTCACCAATAAAGACATTGATATATGTTAAGAGCACAGCCACTGGTATTCCCGTCAGGAATATATAGAATCTCTGTAGAGGGGATAAAAACAGTCAGTGTGGGAAACTCAGAACCCTGACAAAATTTACATGAGAGCTGAAAATGTCTGCAAATGGTGCAACAGCAAATAACTCTTAGACTTGCGTTCCTAGGTTGGAGAGGGAAGTTGTATGTAAACAGTGCTGATTGTAATGAGTTAATTAATGAACCAGAACACACAGAAGTGATGCTGTGTCAGCCCATGAGCCTGTTCAGGTCAGTTCTCATTTCCCAGCTAGGCCAGTCTGTGCAGCAGCAAACAGCAACACCTCCCTGAAATCTGCCTCAGCATCTTGGCATGACTGGCTCCAGCACTCAGCTGCACTCAGGCACTGACAGCAAAGCAATAATCCAACACCAATGCAACCACTGTGGGCTCTGTAGCTGTGGAAGGCAGATAAAAGGAGTCCTTATCACATGAAGGGAGTTGTATCAAATTGCTGCTTATAATAGGATTTATCCAAAACCTGACTTTGGAGGGGTCAAACTCAGGTCAGGCTTCCTTAATCTCACCTATGTTGTTAGTGGTATAGACAAGTGAAGGCAAACCCTACAGAAGAGTGACTGATGTTTCAAAAAGGAGGATGAAGTAGAAAGCATTCATGGGCCATGCATATATGAACACAGACATGTAATTTAAGAGTGCTACTACAGCAGTAATTTAAGAACCTATCATAGCCTTTGCTGTATAGTCAGTCTTTGAACTTCACCTGCCCCTGATTTTACAGCACACTACCAAAAAACTTTTAAGAAGGCCCTGAAATTCTTTTTTATGTAAATAGTGCCAGCCACATTTTAGATGCTATCGCACAAACAGAGTAAATTGTATTTTAGACAATCTTACACCATTTGAAAGTACTGTGTTACACTGAATGCCATACATTTGATTTTTAACTCACCAACAAGCGCAGAAATCGAGAATCATAAAAACTTGTTGCCTTGATGATAAACATTCTCTTCCCATGGTCACCACTGTGTCGTACAGGAACTGAAAATTGAACCAGAGTATTATGGGTTTGTACCGCATTGGGCCTTATGCCAGGACAAGGTCAAACATATGTGGGGAAAGGAAGAAAAAAAAAAAAAAAAACCAAAAAAAAAAGAAAACAGAGTGTAAAACAGCGGCTAAGTTTTCTGCAGTTCGCCTGAATTTATTTCACATTTTGTTAGCATGAAGCTGTTTTTCTTCTAACTATAGGCAGAGATCTATGTCTACCTGTAAGCACCAACACGTGAAACAGTGAATGTCACCATAAAGGGCCAAGTAAATGGACAATTAGAATGCCAGGAGGGTCGGCCTCCCGCCCGTTTCCATCCATTTTTTACCCAAACCCCGTAGTTTTTCATAGGAACGGGGACACAACACTCCACTTGCTCAGCCCCCGGCCCTCCCGCGGCCTCCGGGAGAGCACCTCTGTCCCGCTCCGCAAGGTCACCTCGCCCCCGCCGCCCC